AGAAAAACGTGTACATACCAAGAACCTTGTTCCAGCATGAGATTGTACTACTTCTTTTCATGCATTTATGATATAAATTCCAAAATACAGTTTTGATTAGTGGACGTGGATTCCAACTGATTTGTAAGTCATTTTGGTTGAGGAGTAAATATTTTGCTCTCTTTCCTGAAAAGCACTAGCGGGATGCTGTTGGATTCCCCTTGACTGGCAGGCTGTTGACACCCTCCTCACAGTTAGCAGTCTTTCACTCCACTTGTGGGCATGTATAAAGTAGTTCCTTTCCACAGGAAATTGGCAGCCTAAACTAACCTCTTCCCTAATATCATTCAAAGTATTGTGAAGCACAGTTCAAAGAATATATCACCTCTTTATTTTTCTTATACAGAAATGCTTAGGACCAGAAGTGTACAGGTGTTTCAGATATTGATTTTTTTTTTCAAATCTTGGAATATGTGCATGTAATGAGAGACTTTGGGGATGGGACCAAAACTTAAGCACAAAATCTGTTCAAGTTTCATATACACCTTATAGCACGACAATAATTTCATGCCCTATTTTTAGTGCATTTGTGCTTTGACTGTGACCCATCACATGAGATCAGTTGTGGGATTTTCCACTTGTATGATATCATTGGCACTTGGCTTTTGGATTTGGGGGCATTTCACATTTTGGATTTCAGGGTTAGAGATGCTCAACCTGTATTAGTAACTACCATGATTGAAAGTAAATGTGCTTGTTTCCCCCAAATAGGCAATGTTCTTTGAGAATCTTAGTATTTCTTTGCAATGATACTTGAGATTATAGTTATATTCAGTGTTGTCCTCATTACTTCCACATTATCATATATAATTTATCACTGTTGAAATAAAATGTGCTTAGGAATATAGTCATTAACTGGATATTCAATAGTAATGGAAAAGCCTAGAGGTACTGTATAAAAGCATATGAAGTTAGGGCCAGGAATGTAGGTCAGTAGCACCATGCCTGCCTTGCAAGCTCAAGGGCCTGAGTTTGATCCCTGGTACTGGGGCAAAAAAAAAGTATATGAGTTGATTAATGTAGGGTATATAGTTGGTATGTATTGAAAATGTTTTGCTAAGATTTTAGTGTGATGAATATTATATGTGTTACAGAATGTGTTAAATTTAAGTGAGAGAAAATTAGCAAAGCCAAACCCTTAAGTTTCAGAAATACCCAGGCTGTTTTAAAATAATTCCGTATTCTGAGGAATTTATGATATTTCACATTCATATTTTCAATATTCATACAGCCATGTCCAGTATTTTCATGTTAAATAGTTGGCTTCTATTTCTTTCTTTTTTTTTTTTTCCTTATTGAGTGTATTGGAACATTTTAGGTATACAGTACAGTTACTTTCATTATTGGGATCTTGTACCTTTACATGACAGGTCTTGGTTCTCATTTTTTCCCCTTGTCCCTGCCCTCCCTTCATCCCCTCCTCCCCTCCCCATTTACAAACATTTTATTTCCATTTTTTCATTTTCTCATAATTTTTTCTCTTCCCTTATTACCTTTCCCCTACCCTTCCCACTTACTCTACACCTTTAGCCCTTTTCTTCCTATTTCACACTGTCAACCTGCCTCCCCCTCCCCTCCCCATTTACAAACATTTTATTTCCATTTTTTCATTTTCTCATAATTTTTTCTCTTCCCTTATTACCTTTCCCCTACCCTTCCCACTTACTCTACACCTTTAGCCCTTTTCTTCCTATTTCACACTGTCATATACCATTAGGATCTTATGTACTATTATAGTTTACACACCAGAGAAACTACTTGGTATTTACACATGTGTGACTTATTTATTTCACTTAGGAGTATATCCTCATGGCTTCTATTTCTTATGAACAATAACTTTAATATAATTTGAAACCTTTATATAAATTTTAATTTTTAAAATATTAGAAACTGAAATCAATGTTCCTTCACACAGGTGCTGATGGGAAGAGTCCCTGACAGGGGAGGACGGCCGAATGAAATCGAACCGCCACCCCCTGAAATGCCCCCTTGGCAGAAGAGACAAGAAGGCAGCGGAAGGGGTGGTTGGGGTGGGGGTGGTCAAATCCACATGCTATTTCTTAAACAAGCTTTTGTTTTCCTTGCAGTGTACTTCATAGTTGTCAGTTGCCTGGTTTTCTGGCTTTTGGAAAAGCCTTAAAAATGTCATCTCTTGGGACAGCTGGGATCGAACACAGGACCTTGCACTTGTGAGGCAGGCACGTTGCACTGAGCTAAATCCCCAACCCTGAAGAAGAGGGTATGGAGATCCATATGGAGGAGGCGGTGGTGGTGGTGGGTATAGACGATATTAAAAGTGCAAAATTTAGATAGTAGTGCTTACTTCTTGTTAGATACATTAGACATCGTGTTCTAAATAATATACTTGAATATCATCTTTGAAGTAAACACCGTGTTAAATTCCCTGATGATATCGTTCTCTAATAATATGTACGAAGATTGTTTTATACTAAGCAGTTGATCTCTGAGCGGGATGACTTTTTCCATATTCTGTGTACACTTGAGCATGTTGTCTTTTTAAAAAAAAACAAAAAGATGAACAAAAATTATTTTTTAAAATGTAAATATTTATTACCATCAAATTTGGAAAATGGAAAGTATTTTATTGTCATGATTTAAAGCTGTTACCTGTATTTTGTTCAGAGTTGAAACACATAAATGACCCTACCTGTGGTAGAAAGGAATATAGACTCTTGGCTCATCTGTGTTCCCATGTTGTTTTTAATATTCATTAATTTTGTTTTACAGCGTAGGGGAAAAGACAGATGGTTGTGTTCAGTAGGTGGTATTTTTTGCAGAGTGAAATTCCTCTGGTCAGGTTCATGTTAAAGTTCTATTGGTTGAATCCAAGGTCTTCTGTTTGCTATGTATATTTTATTTATTTTCCAGTTGAATTTGAAACCCATATGATTTTGACTGAACAGTTAAGTTAAAAATTGAGATCAGAATTAAAGGGATAAAATGTATATATCAGTTTTACACGATGGTGTTAGAATACTCTTGTAAACTGGTCTCTTCATTATTTGTACACTCACTTTAGATAACCAAATATTAGAAGGCAGGCTGAGCTGTATCACAGGATTAAGGGAGTGATTTCCAGCTTCAGTAGATCATGGGCAAGGTAAGACATCCATTAGTAAGTCAGATTCCCTGCTAAATTTGGGGAACACGCAGATAGGGAATAGCTCTGTGTAGTTCTGGGATCAAGAGTTGTGAATGTGAATTACAGTGCTAGGCCAGGGATGTGCTGGGTTGAAATGACCTTAGCTATTAAAGATTGACTCACCTTCATTTGTCAAATGAGAATGAGACACTTGCTGTCTTTTCAGTTTATTTCATAAAGACCTAAAATACAAATTAAATTTGTTGAAAATATATAGGGGGCCAATTGTGAAATGGTTTAAGAGTGAAGATGTATTTTTCTTAGTGGTGGAGTCAAAGAAAAAGGGCTGCTCACACAAAATTTTTAATCTCTGCATAAAGAGAGCATTGTGGGTCCTGGGTCCACACCCGTACATAACAACTTTTTGCAATCCAGCCAGTTCAACAGATAAACTAAATTGTTAGCAGTGGAAACATAGCATTTGATGTGTGTCAGGGTAGCTAATTTTGTTATGATAAATATAACAAACATTAGTTTATGAATTTCTGTGCTACTTCATATCTCATAGGAGTTTAAGTTGAGCATCTCTGAATTGATGATGGAGTTGGAATCGTCCCTATTACACATTCCTGTGCATCTATTGAATAAAAAACTCACCCCTCTAGACACTAATGATGTCTTACTCTTTCTTATAAGGCAGGACTTTCACAGTAAGTTTTAATCAGTAAAAGTTTCTACAGAACAGTTTGCTGAGTAATATCTAAAAGAGCAGCAAGGTAAGTTAGGGGCTTAATGTGAAAGGATATAATGTGAAAATGTTTTATAAATGGAGTGCAGTACAAGTGTGGAATACTATGAATGGTACTTCGCCTCTCCTAAAACCCTATACCTGTTTTGATAACTTCTTTTGACCTGGTTCTCAGTGGGGTGTTTTTCTTTTTTTATTTGTTTGTTTGTTTTTTCTATTCCTTCCCTTTTGTATTTTGTTTGTCTAGCCTGTGGCACCTAAGAAAATTGCACCTATAGACATGATCTCACTAGCAGTTTCTGAATTAAAGTAGTAATTGACCTTCCCTTCAAGCCACATGAAGCACCTCCCTTCCATCCGCACATAAACGCCACACAGTTACTCATAAGCTTTCATCAAAAAAGGAAATGGGCCTTTCTTTGAATCTGGTTCCTTGTATCTATAGATCTTAAGGAAACTTGCTTCATTAAACATGAGACAGTTTAAACTGTGTAAGTACAACAGAAAATATGGTAACCTAAAAAATACTTGTGGCCAGAAAATGTTCTGAACAATGATACCGTCTCTTTCAAAGGAGCACAGGGTAGAAGGGAATTTGGGGTGAGATGTGGGTTGGAGGTAAGGCAGTTTAATCTTCAGGGTCAGGTTGTTGGTGCAGTTTTATTCTTTTGTATGAAATACTATGAACTGTCACAACGATAATACAATCCCACCAAATGTCCCAGAATGCATTCACAGTGGAAACTGAGCAGATAAACTTCCCTTCTCCTTTGATCTGGTTAACAAAAAAACTGTCTGGAGAACAAGAGAAAAATCTCTCTAAACCCACACAATAATTGCTACAGGGGTTCTGAATGCTAGGTCGAGCCATCTTTCACTAATGTTTTCTTCTTTAGTTGGTAGTTAGCTTAAGTGGAATTGAAATTAAAGACAGAAGCCACAGAGAAATGACAGTGGTTAATTTTTTTCCTTTAATGTATTCATAGACTTACGGGGGCGTTCAGTAAATCACTATAAGATGGGAAAAGATTGGGTATTTCTGTACTGTTCTTTGTGCTACAAAAAGATAATCAAACATTTAAACTGAATAATCTAGTTGCTTTGCTTTTGCTTCCAGGACAAAACTAACAGAACAGAAAAGTAGTCCGTACATAAATAATAGTAAAATTTCAGGTGAGCTTTGTACATATTCATGCAGATAAAGAAGAAACACAAGACGTGTTTTGGGATCCTAATGTCTTTATCATATAAATATTAACACAAAAACTTACATTAAGTATCAAAAAATCTACAGTCTGTACATTTTTTTCTTGCATTCCTTTTACATTTATATACCATAAGACAGATTCACAAATGGTCAGTAAAAAGGTGAGAATTACCAGAGAAAATGAGAAGTGACATTGTTAATAAAACATGATTTGTCCTTGTCTTGGCAGATAAATATCTGCCCCAAATTATTTCAGGTCAATATGTTGTTAGATTATTTCTGTAGATTTCACTAGCTACCATAGCTCAGTGTAAATAATAAGATAACATATTCTTTTGCTCTTGCTGTATTTTAAAACACGATGAAACTTTGGCCTTGTATTCACTTCAGTGATATATTCTGCAGTGCCTGAGATTGTCTAATCGTGAAAATTTAAAGGAACTGACCTTTTGAAATTCTATATATTATAGATTTATTTACATAAAAACTAGTTTGAGGTCTTTATTTTGGGTGGAGAGTGTGAGCAAATTTATATATTCTTTGAAATTGAGCTATACCCTGTAGTCTGTCGCAGGAAAATGCTGAAGAATCTGAATTTGAACCTTTGTCATAAGCTCATATTTATTCCATGTAAATCTAGTTACAGTGCTGACAGAGTCTGTATTCCAGGTGGTGGGCCTAAGCAGCCCTGCTTTGAGGATTTCTGAGTTTGGATTTACAAAAAGAATAAATTTATATGTGAAGTGATTCTTTAAAACATTTCTAAGTTCTGGGTCACTGAAAACTTACTACAAAAAGTATGCAAATGGGAAGTAATCTTTCATCAAAAATCTTATTAAATTGCAAATAGGTAATACTGTACATATACTTTGTTATTCTTATGAAGGCATGGTGCTTTGGCATTAGATTTGAAACTTTTTTTTGTTTTTTTTTTTTTTGGTACCAGGGATTGAACTCCGGCCTTTGTGCTTGCTAGGCAGGTACCAGAACCACTGAGCTAAATCCCTGGCCCTAGATTTGAAACTTTTAATTAGGGTTATATTCCTGGCAGCTGGACAGTTTGTATATGAATTATAAATTAACTGGTACCAGATTTTCCAAGTATGGAAACTTAAGTTCCCCCTGCAAAAGAAAGTGATTTTAGTGGCTGACAATAGAGTTTGTGAATTTCCCAGGCCACCAACTGAGCTCATTCATTATTAACTTCCAGACTAGAATACACATAAGACTTGCTACTTGTGCTTTTACTAAATACAATTTATAAGCAAGTTCTCCATTTTGTAACAGAACTATGTATTTGTATGAGTGTCTAAAAGTGTTGTAACTCATCTCCACATTTTATGGAGACAGATCCAAACCACATGCATGCCTGCTGTTTTATATACATATACTATATACATATGTACATGCTGTCAGCTGCTATTTACACTGCTGATCCAATTAGCTTATTTCTAAGTAGTAGTAATAGTGAAGACAGTTTAAGACAAAATCAGTTCAAAACAATTTTAAAAATAGTTTAAAAAAGGTTAAACATGAGTTACTCTTCACAGACTTGCTTTTTAAAAGAACCATGAATTCCTAATTCTGTTCTCTAGAATGAGGACAGACATGTCTACAATTACTTTAGCTAATTAGCAAGTCATGTGTGAGATGGTAACAACTGTTTCCAGGTACCAGGTTTATTTTGTGATGACTAAGACTAGAACTAATTGATTTGTGTCTGGATAATGTCACGTTTAATAGACCAGTAAGCAGCCAGGCCGCATCTCTAGACGCTCGTGTGTGACATAGAGACGGAGGAGGAGAAAGGCTAATTGATGAGATCTGAGGTAGTGAAGTGGGAGCCAGATTCACAGAATGCTGGGACTTACAAGTCCATCTACTTTTGGAATATGGGTATTTTTTCATTATCAGTAAGCTTTGTGGAACAAAGGAAATCCCTCAGTTTGTAGAAAACATAGAGAAAATAATTCATTTTCCAGGAATTTTAGTTTTAAGAATCAGTCAAGCAGGCCCTATGACACACTACCTTGTTAGGAAACTAGACATGTTTTAGCACACTTTTCTAGAAAGAAAATCAGTATGTGAAGTTTTGCATCCTTCAGCTGACTGAAAGAGAAAACAATACTGCACATTAGGAGTCTGTAGGTTTAAAAAACAAAACAGTAACTGGCTTTTCTCTTTTAAAGTACTCCGTTTAAAAAGACAGTCCACCTACAGTTGCCCAGTCTCGGTTCATCGGCTTAGGAAAGGAGAGCCCTGGTGTACTCATCCACAGATTGTGCTCCTTGAATTTTTGGCTAAGAACAGTCACTCTCTTCCATCTGTGCTAAGATGTGATTGCTTTTTGCAAGCTGAAGGGATTCTATTTTCTTCTGTGCATATTTTAGTTGGATCTTTAGGGCATCATTGTCTGCTTTCAGGGCATTTATTTCCTAAAGGGAAAGGAGAATATGCATGTTAATAAAACAGCAGTGAGTAGCAAATTGGTTACAATATTGAGAGTACTACAGTTGATTGCCATCTCCTGTTCACTATGGGTGAGGAAAACTATTTTCAAAATAGTTACTCTGCACTGAATATAAAATAACGTTAAAAACATCAAATGAGCATGGGCAAACAGCAGTTTATCGTTTCACAGAAGTAAGCAGCTTGCAGGCAGAATAAACCATTCTTGGGCAGTGGGTAGAGGGTGTTGCAACCTTTGGGTATATTGTATAGCAGATCTTAACTTGATATAAGCAGTCTGGTCAGGTCTGCGCCATGAAAGTAGTGCTTGAAAATTCTGTAATATGACATGTCATAGTACACTTAACCTGTTTTTCCTACCAAGTCATTGAAAATTAATGCACACTTTTGATAGATTTTTGTCCTTTGTCCATAAACTGAGATTTAGTGATCCAATTTGCAGTAATTTGTACAGTAATTTAATTATATCACTTAATTTTTCCTGGCTTCTGATTTTGAGGCCAGTGTTCCTACATTGTATAACACTAATTACACCAAAAATATATGGGCAGTGTCTGGATAAGTGTAGGCACAGTGGGTTGTTCCTCAGTTTGAATTATTTGCTGCTATTATACATCATGTAATATTGAGCACTTGTGTGTGTGGTGCTTTGCTACATAGAAGATATCTTAGTCTTCACATGTGTCTTGAAAATAATTTTATAGAAGCAGAAAATATTGCTATATAATTTCAGACTGGATTTGAACCCTGGTGTTTGTGTGTG